TAGGTGCTTGGCCTGTTCATCGTGTCTTCACGATTCACCCTCTGCTCTGGTCACAGTAGCTGCTGCTTTACTCGGGTACGAGGAAGCTGCCGCTTTACAAGCTGATAGGAAAAATGAAGAACAGGCCACTGCCACCACGATCATCATGATCAACCACCATTTCTTCGGCTACTCCCTCGTCCAGTCACTTTCTCTACGTGCGGGCAAAGAGTCTCGCGGACCCTGACACAGGCGGAGATCAACATGGGTGAGTCCCGATATCTATTCGTGGTCAAGGATCCCAAATCCCAGTCACTCTCCAAAAGCAGTGATCAGGAGAGACGATTGATCCACCGTCATGTCCAGATCGACAGCATGCATCGCCGACGATTGTCGCTCCATCCCAAAATCTACAAGAGTGAGCAATTGCCATTCATCCAAGTCAACCCGGGCCTCAAAGCCGGGACCAGCAAGAGACCTGAGATACAAACCATTCCTCGTGTGCCTGCAGACGAATCGCACATCATCGACCCCTTTGTATCGACCGTGGTCAATGTGGATCGCAAGGCTCATACTCTGCTGCAGTATTTCGTCCATGTTTCTCATCCTAGGACGTGGCATTCGGAAGTGCAAAATGATCGGACTTACACCTTTCAGAAGGACGTCTTTCCATTGGTCAAGGGATGTCTTGAAAACGAGGTACATTTCTATACCTTGTTGGCTTCCATGGCCAGCCAAATGCAGTACTTTGAGCTGATGCACCGAGATGAGACCACGAGTCAATTGGCAACCAAAGCCATCGTCGCTATTCGTCGGCATCTCAGGTCTTCGCCTCCAATCGACCAGAGGCTTATATTCGACATTCACCAAATGGCCGTGACAGATTTCTACCGATATGAACTTCAGTCGGCTCTCATCCATCTCACGGCAGTCAAAAGTCTTCTTTCGCATATCGGGGGAATTGAACGAATTGACCCTTCACTACGCGAATGGATTGTGATTGGGGATGGCTACCTAGCAGCGGAACTCCTTCATAAGCCAGTGTTTCCTGCTTCTTGCTTCGACCCGGGCGACCTAGAACTGGTACACGGGGACATTATCAGTGATCAGACTGATTCCACAGCAAAATGGTTTCAGGAACCACGCCACTTTGAGATTCTGCCAGCCCAGATGTATCAAGTGCTTCTGGATTTGGGTGCGGTGGTGAATGCCATGCAGCGTCAATCTGGAACACAAGCTTCATACCCAAATAATCCTGCTGGATCTAAGTCAACCCTTCATTGGCTCCTTCTCCGAACAAGTGCACTCAGGCACCGACTTCTGGAACTCGAGACTGATGATGGTAAAGTGGACGCGATTAGGATTGTCTTGATCGCATGGCTATTCATGGTGATGACCGTGACGGGTCGCCGTCGAACATGCAGAGTCCTCGCCTCGAAACTGAAGCGTCGACTTGAAGCAATGGGAAGCGAGGATTGGGTCGGATATGGAGAGGTCCACCTGTGGGTGCTTCTTGTTGGCACCATGTGTTGTGATGGAAATACTCGAGGATGGTTTCTCACCGAGATCCAGAAGGCAGAGCATCCGGTCCACTGGGACTCGGGCCACGCGTACCGGGAAGACGAGCTTGCACAGTTGTGCAGCCGCTTTTCCTACCTCGACACGTATCTGCAGACCTTGTTGCAAACTCTCACCAGCGATTTGAATGCTTTAGCGCCATTGTGAAGACTAGAACAGAATACAAGGGGTGATTTGCGATTGTTGACCTACTATATGAGTACCTCGTAGGCGACCCAAGGCTGCAGACACGTGATGGCCAAGCAACAAGACTGTGTGACGCGATGCTGAAGCTGCCCGCATCTCCTCGTTTCCGTGTCTGTGTCCATCTCCACCTCCACTCCGCCTACAAGTACGAAAGATACTCGGCACCAAGACTCATTGGAAATCCTCAGAGTCGCATATCCACGACTCGTGCAAGCTCACCTGCCATGGCATCAACCCCTCTGGCCTTCACTACACCTTCGACGCCTATGAACTACAGCAAACCTCGGACAATGAACCACTGACTTCTCCGAGACGATTCATTAATCAAACTGCGCTCTCTGCGCTGCCGTCCTTTCCCGGCCAAGCCTCCCATTAAGCTTCCAACCTCCACATTACGACCCCATCCAACTTCGACCGAGGTTATATGCCACGGAAATCGACATGCGGCCTGGAAATCGTTGTGCGGTCTCCAGAATGCCTATCACGTCCCCAGCTTTCGAGGGCGGTCCTAAATGTCTATCTCCAGCCCGCCCACTTTGGACGGCGCGGAGTCGGCTTTATGTTGGATGCCGCCCCCTTGACAATTGATATTCCTCCAAGATTTCCTTCCCTCGACTCTATACCTCTACAGTAGGCCTCTCTAGCTGATCTACTTGAATTCCAGAATCGGCGCCGCAAAAATGCCCTACGCGAGCCCTTATCCTCCCCTGGATATTCCAAAATGCAACATTCTCTCCTACGTCTTTCCCCCAGAGAAGACGCCATCCAACAAGCCACTATGGATGGATGCTGAGAATCCCTCCAACAGTCTCTCGCCGGCCCAGATGCTATCATGGGTCAAGAGATTTGCGGTTGGGCTGGACCGACTGGGCGTCAAACAGCAACAAGCAGTCATGGTCTTCACGCCGAACCATCTCTATGTCCCAATGGCGTATCTCGCGGCGGCTGGGTCCAAGCGATTCTTTACTGGCGCCAATCCCATCTATACAGTCAACGAGGTCGCCCATCAGATGAAGGCAATTGAAGCGGCGATTGTGCTCATCCACCCATCCTTGCTCGATACCGGTGTGGCTGCGGCCAAACAAGCCAATATTCCATCAGAGAGGCTTTTTCTCTTCTCTGACACTGAGTCCCCAGTCACGAAAGGTATCAAGGATTGGCGGTCTATGGTCGCTTCAGAATCGGAAGCTGCGTCTTGGAGATGGGATCCTCTCGAGGGGGAGGCTGCCCTGCAGACTGTTGCCGCCATCAATTTTTCGAGCGGGACCACTGGCCTACCCAAGGGTGTGTGCATCACGCATCGCAACCTCATTTCGAACGCGGCGCAAACCATCTTCAACAAGTACGAGGGCACTCAATACTCTGAACAAAATCCCGGCCCTGAGCGCTGGCTTGCATTTCTTCCCTTGTATCACGCCTATTCGCAGCTGTGGACAATCAACATCGCATGCCGACTTCAAGTCCCCGTTTATGTCATGCCTAAGTTTGTGTACGAAGATTTCCTAAGGTACATTCAAAAATATCGAATCACAACGCTCCAGCTGGTACCACCCGTACTTGTCATGTTGAGCAAACGACCTGAAACGGCCAAATACGACCTTAGCAGCCTCAAACAGTTTCTTTGCGGCGCAGCACCGCTCAAGAGTGATTTGCAAAATGAGATCATGACGAGATTCAATGTTGTTGTCGTTCAAGGCTGGGGTATGACCGAGACAACATGTGCCGGCATCATGATGCCAGGAATGACAAAAGATCTGACGGGCTCGATCGGATATCTGCTACCCAACACCGAGGCGAAGCTCATGGATGAGGAAGGAAATGAAGTGACGGCGGAAGGCGAACCCGGTGAGCTCTGGCTGAGGGGACCACAGATGCTACTTGGCTATTGGAGAAACGAAGAAGCCACCAAAGAGAGTAAGACAGAGGACGGCTGGTTCAAGACTGGTGATGTGGCCGTCTGCAAGGACAAAAAGTGGTGGATCGTCGACAGGAAGAAGGAGCTCATCAAGGTCAACGGCTTACAAGTGGCACCTGCTGAACTAGAGGCTGTCCTGCTCGAGCATGAAGATGTCGCCGATGCCGCCGCCGTGGGCATCACTGTCCACGGCGAAGAGCTACCACGAGCCTATGTGGTTCTACAAGAACGCGCCAAGGGCAAGACGACCGAGGAGGATATCAAGGCTTTTGTGGCAAGCAAAGTGGCTAGGCACAAACGATTGGCAGGTGGCGTCAAATTCATCGATGAAGTGCCCAAGTTGGCCAGCGGCAAGATTGTGCGCAAGTTGATGAAGGAGTGGGCGAAGAGGGATGCTCAGGAGGTTGAAGGCACTGTGAAAGCAAGATTGTAGACAGGGACTGTCTCTGGGCAACCAGAGCGTTTCCGGTCCAATACATCTACCAGTGATCGATCTGATATCGAGGAGAGGTCAACGCCACGAATCTCGGTTCAATCACTGCAAGATGCACCCTGGACCTACTAAAAGCAATCCTTCTTGCTATTGAAGCCAGACCGACCCCTATCAGCAGCGAAGAACCTTCAGAGCAACTTCAAATGGACTCTCGAATGGACTACCTTTGCCTGGTATCGAATGAAAGACCCACTTGGGTATGTGGCGTTGTACAGACGAGACAATAGATGGATGCAGCGGTGGAAGGAATGTTTAAAGAGATGGTGAGAGGATCTAGAGAGCCTTCAGTTTGGCGGTAGAAGCATCGAGCAATCGTACCAGGAAGCAATTGCCGCACCTTTCTTCATCAACTCATGTCAAATCTTTCATTTTCATCTTCAGTCTCATTTCGTCCTGTCTTCATCTTTCATCTTCGCTTTTTTCCCCTCTCTCCTCCTTCAACCTCTCGCGAACGAAGCGCGATCCTTCTGGCAATGGAGTAGTCAAGCAATTCGTGGCCACGCGACTAGGTGAGGGATATACGGTCGAAGCACAAGTCACTGGTCACGAAGTACACGGGGGGCTGCAAATTGAGATCACTCCAGCGGTGGTGGGATCCTCTGGTAGCACTCGAGTGTCGGTTGTTCTTCTCACTGGCAAAAAGTACGACGTCTGCGTTCCTTTGGACTCAACGTTCGGCCACCTTAAGAAAATGATGTACAAAATCATGGGCATGCCGACTGCGATCCAGAGACTTCTCTATCGAAATGAACAGATGTTAGATGGTGAGAATTCTCCGTTAGCTTGAATAAACCATGCTAACCACAACGAATACCCAGCCCGCCTCATCGCTTCTTGTGGGCTATTCGAATGCGTAAGCTCCAGTGACTTCTTTTCCAGCATTATCACTAATGGCTTTGCGCGCTGACTACCTGACTAGGGGGAGCAGTTGTCCTCTCTGAGAGATTGACGGGAGGAGGAGGAGGGCCTCCAGCAGCAGCGAAGCCAAAATCCAAACCCAAAGAAATGGGCATCGCTGCGGGTGGAAACATCGAGCAACGGATCGTGTGTGATGACTGGCCCGCAGAAACGTGGCACAAGACCGCCACCGTTGCCTTCAATGTCCAGATCCTGAACACCAGCGCCTTTGAGAGTGTCACGGGTCTCCCACCCCCAGAAACGCCAATCAACATGGAAACCTACGCCGAGCTGGGCCTCCCGTTCTTCAAGCTGTACGAGGAGGATCTGGGGGATGTTGTTGTCCACGGGCCACTCGACAAGGTCAAGTCGATTGGGGAGATGGATGGCGTCGAGGACCCCAGCTTCGCCGTCCCGATCAAGCCGCTCAACGACGACCCAGCGCGTGCGCGCGGCGAATCCAAGCCCAAGTCTCAGCAAGCCGACGCTGACGGCGTCAAGGCCGGCGACGACATCTCCAATCCAGCAGGTCCGTTGAGCGACTTTCGTCCCCGCGCCGAACTATTGCAAGAGTGCTGGGCGAGCCAGGGTTATTATGCACATTAAATCATGTACCTAATCCAAACCCAAACCCAAACCTACATTGAGCACGATACATGTCCTGAGAAAAACATCAAAATGAGCTTGTCATTGACACAGACGTCTAACGATGCTGGGCATACGCGCACGGCACCACATGCATGTGTACATGAAGGGCTTGAAACTCGACAACAGCAACTCGGAGATTTTATTGGCCAACTGACAAAACGGATCGATCAGACAATCAATCAATCAAGCAAGCAGAATGCATGCAGGGAAATGGAAACAGCTGAACAGAATGCAAACATGATAATCTCGTGCCCGACCCCGATCGTTCTCGGGCGAGGTATGCTACCCAAAGTGGCAGTCATCAGGGAAGGGAGAGGGGGGTGAGTACGTTGGGCTATCTGAGAAGAAACTATGAAAAGGAGGGAGAAAAAAAATCACAAGAGAGCTCATAATGTCAGTCTATTCAACCAACGAGGAAGGATATGTGCTGGTCTGTGCTGTGTTGGGACATTGAAAGCTGGTACGGTACGGTGCGGTACAGTATGATTCGGATAATTGTTGGTGATCTGTCTGCTGGTGCACGGTCTCCTAAGGGTAATCAACCGTGCTGAATGCCGAATGCTGGTTGCTGCGTGAATCAAGGATGACGCAATGTCAGGGGCTCTCAGGCGGAGCATCGCATAGCATAGCATAGCTGACAGAAGTAGCCAACAGCCAACAGCCAACAGTCAATGATGAAAAAAGGCTTCCTCAGCAAAGACCAGACCAGACCACACATAGCTTGCTTGCAAGGGTGTACAGTACAGGCATGGACGAGACTTTTAAAAGTCCAGGTCGGCCTTCTGCTCTCCGACTTTTATTCCATTTCGAGCCTCACTGACAGTACCGTCATCGTCACCACCACTTATTTTCTTCTCCTTCGGTCTCCCCTTCCGATCCACCCTCTCGTCTCTGGGATCGAACCCGCCATTGCCCCAGAGTGCCCATTCGGGCGTCGCCTTGCAGTAATCCTCGGGCGTGAAATCGGTGGAACTCTGCAGGAGGTCGAAGAACCTGTCGTAGTCGATGAGGGTGTGCCACTTGTCGCGGATGAGGAAGCGCTTGCTCGCAATCAGCACGCAGCAACTGTGTGCGTGTTCGGCGGCGATGCCGTACTCGAGTCCCCGTTTCGCGAGGGCCTTGTCCAGCGCCTCGACGAACGCGACGACTTCCTCGTAAAAGGGGACGTTCTGCATCGTCAAGCCCGCTCCGGCCGAGGAACTCGTACCGCAGTACTGTCGGGGGAAGAGATATGTTAGTATACCTCCAAAAGGGATAGAGCGGAAGACGCCACAAAGCTCAATTGCGCCTCGGAAGCAATGCGATACGCAAAGAGATGGATATCTTTTTCGGACAGGCAGAAACTTACTGTGACACCCTTGATCTCGATAAAGCAGGGTAGTCCCTTGGCCACCAAGTGAGCATAACCCTCGACTTCGTCCTCAATGTTGAACCCCTTGACGAGCGTAAGCCGAAACACGGTGCGCTGTACAAACCGCTTCTCCCGCAAAATGTCCAGACACGAATTGAACCGTTCCCAAAAATCCCGGTGCAGAGGCCTATCGATCTTGCGCAGACTGTCTCTGTTGCTGGCGTCGATGCTGACGTATAGTTGTGTCACACGGCGCAGGTCACGCAGTTGTTGCGGATGCTGGGCGTTGCAGACCAGGAAACTCGATATCTTCTCTCCATGCAGGAGGCCCACAAACTCATTGATGCGAGGGTAGAAGATCGGTTCGCCTACTAAGCTCAAAGCACAGTGTCGGATACGCATGGCCTCTTCGAACCTTTCCGCGCGCACACCGGGAACGCCGCGCATCATCTTGATTTTCTTGTAATGGCCTTCCTTTGCACCGTCGAATATCAGCTTGGGATCGTCGACTTGCCAGCGCCATGTCGTCGACACCGGGTTGGTGCCGTGCCTCCAGCAAAAGACGCACTTGTTGCTGCATGATAGCGAGGGAGTAGTTTCCATGCACAGGTGGGACGCAATGCCATAGAAAGAATTCTTGTAGCAGGATCCACGGCCGCGAAGAGCAGATTTGGTCCAGCGACAGATTTTCACGCCCGAGTGGGTACCCACGATGGTGTAGCCCTGTTTGGTCAAAGCAGCATGAGTAGGGGATTCCTTAGGGACCATGGCCTTCAGAGTCGTTGCTGGCGAAGGGCGAGAGCTGTAGGTGGTGAAGTCAACGGCGATTGGAGACGTATAGGAATTGGCCTTCCCACCCACGTCCTCGAGATCGGTGGTATTTGCAAGCTTTCGCCTCTTGTTGCGTCCAGAGTCAGGGAATTCGTCGGTCTCTTCATCGCCATCCTCTGGCTCTTCCTCGTCACCGCTCTCCACGGGTTCCCCGCTGCCAGGAACGCCTTCACCCAGCGCCCCCGACGTGCTCACCTCCTTGAGGACGTTGCAGACGCCACCTACCCAGTCCTTCAGCGACTTGTCGACATTGCTTTTCACGTCACCGAGTCCCAAGGGATACGCCCTCTTCCGACCTGTTAATTTGGCCATCCACTTGTCGACCTCTACAGCCTGTGAACAAAACCCTTTCTCCTCGGTGGGCCACCCTTCTTTGTCCCCGATCCCAAATATTGTATAGCCTGCCAACGTGGACAAGGGTGCGGTGTCAATGCGGAAGTCATTGTGCGTCTCGTCTAAATGGGCAAGGAAGGTGTTCAGAATGGTGTCAATGTCGTAGGAAGGTATCAGGAGGAGGTAGAAGTACGAGACATCTGCACTCGGGACGGGAGTTTTGGGGCCTGAGATGAAGTAGTCGTCGAGGTCAACATATGAGAGATCGTATACTTGAGGCCTGAGGATCGCGGGGTAGGCGGTTGAGACTCCCTCAAGATCCGCCGCGACCTGCTTCGCGAGGCGTTCAGTAGTCCCAGTCAAGGACGAGAAGAAGATCAGTGGCTGCATGCGAGACGGCTCTCGTCGTCTTTGGAGCGCCGCCTGTCCTCTCGAACTCGCTGGCTTGCGGCCAGTCACCACACGGGCTGCAGCGGCCGGAGTTCGAGGTTTTCGAGCCTGGCCAGACGTGAGCGAAGGGGTGATTCTCGAAGGACTCTGGAGTCTTTGATCCTTTCCAGTCTGGACGTGGGCATCGTCCTTTGGGGCGAGCCACGCTGCCTTCTCCAGGGTTGGAGAGCCGTGCTGTGCACTCTTGGAAGCATGTCTGCGTTGCACGACAACGGCGAGAACACAGAGCCCGACGAGGGTGGACACAACAGCACGGTTCTCATGCCAGTAGTTCAAGAGGCGATCCAGCCAGTCAGCCAGGATGACTGGCGCGGCACCAGCTTCACCCAGATCCATGGCAACAAAAATGTCTGGGGCAATGATTTATTTGGATCTTGGAAATTCTCGCAAGGCACAAGTGGGATGGCGCAGTCGGCGCTTCAGGGTTCCGAGTTCTGGGGGTTCCAGCTTGGAGGTTCCTTGGCGGGATCAAGCGTTCCACGGGGCTCCTCTCCTCTCACGCGATCAACAATAAGTTGTGTTACGGTTTTATGGTCCACTCTGATTTGTCGACATCTCTGGAAGTTTCGGCCCAACCGAGCTTAGCGTCATGGCCTCAAACTACATGACTATCCACAGCCTCTCTCCTCCCATTACAGCATCTGGAACCCAGTGAATCGTTTTCCGTGTTCATGAGGACTACTGGCTGCAAGAAGAAGACATAATTGACCAATTCTTCCAACAATCTGGTATAGATCCCCAAGGCGACTTTTGCTCTCGTCTCATGGCTCCCGATAAGTCGGTCTAGATGCACATCATTGTCGACTTGTACTGCAAAGAACATTCCACAGTCGACCTTGGGGTGTGACCAAGTATGAAGTGTTCAAGTTGAAGAGAAAAGGGACAAGTTGTATGTTATGCATGTTTTTTTTTCTTCCTTTCCTCCCACCGAATTTCCCGAGAGCTGATGATTGAAACTTTGAACTTGTTAGCCTGTTCAAACAAACTGAAATGAATCTGCCTCCAATCACGCCCGCCGGCGCTGCCATTACGTTCGCTGGGGGCACTCACAGCTAAGCAGAATCTGAAGAGTCGGACGGTGTCCTTCGGCGACAAACCGGGCACTCGCCTCTTACATTGGTGTCTCGAGCATCAAGGGACAATGGCAAGTCCCTCAGTGTTCCACTAGGAGGGAGACAAACTCTTTGCCTTGGACGGGCCATTGCTCTTGCGCATCGAATATGGTTTCCACGGATCACGTGTGGAGGATTTCTTCTGCACGACCGAAAGGTCATGCACGCAGTTTCGCACATGATGGGGAAGGATGTCTCTCAATGACTGAGGAGATTTGAAGGGGATATAGCAGGGAGAAAAGGGTCTCTCTCTGCTGTGGAAATCATCTCGCGCTGGATCTATCTATGCGAGAGAACGGCCTCATTTTCTCAGAGTGCGCCAGTGCCTCAGTTGGTCACCGAGTCCAGGTCACCCTGTCAACGCTCGAAAACGCTCGACATCAGGCGTCTAATGTGTCTCCTCCATGCTTCTTAACTCAGGTTTGGATTGATTGAGGTCTCGAGTAATAGCCAGAGCTGCGTTGTCTCTTTGAATGACTAACCATAGGCCACAAAAACACCACCAAACAAACCCGATTGCAGGGCAAAAGGCTAGACCTAAGCCCAGCGAAGGACTGGAGGGAAAAAGGTGAGATCGAACTCAGTTCTGTTCCGCACTCGCCTACGCGCGCTACAAAAGGGAAAATGAAGAAGACCCAAGAGGCCCACGAGAGAGGTCGTCATACCTCCAGTGTATTGTGCGGACCAGAAGTTCAATATCTACAGTGTGTCCATCCCGTTGTGCATGAAGAGCTTTGCATTGTCAAGTCATACGGGTCGCAGGTCTGTCTCTGCCTGTAACTGCATCAACTCCTCCCATGGCCACAACCTTCTGGCATGGTTTGATATGACACTTACTTGTTGCGTAGTGTCGTACTGTACCATATCGTGAGCGACGAAAGCCCACCCGGAGACAGTGTCGTCACGTTCCGATCCACCTTCAAATTCATGGCATCGCGCAATAGTTGCGTGCTCACTAGGGTGGATATACGCAACCCAACGACAGGTCGGCCCTGTGACTCTTGACAGTTTGACAGTCTAACCGTGACCATGTCAGGTAGACTGTGAGATTGAACTGTATGCTCCCCAGAACACTTTTCCGGGGGTTGTCATTCCCCCCAAAGATCTGACCGGCTCCAAGCGGCTCCAGGCAGGGAGATGGTCATGTGAGGTTCCTCTCTCCTACTTACATAGGTCGGTCAGTTCCTCACACGGTAGACAATAAAAAGGACTCAGTTCGTCACATATTCATTTTCTATGTGCTAAGCTCCTGTAGAAGCTACCTGATCCCTAGAGGCATCTCTGCCCGCACGCCCCCATTCGTGTCTAATATCGGTGTCCAAAATATCTCTACCCGATCCAAACCCCCGTGTCTCATGTCAAGTCATTGAGTGTTTCCACATTGATATACCCTCTAGACCCATGCCTGTCTTCGAACCTCAATACGGTGGGCACGATTGGCTCGGCCTCAGCCTGTTGCCTCAGGTGGTGCCGCTCAGCCCGTTGGAGACGACTGGCCTCTTACCTCCCTCGAGGAGGATTGGTCCTGGCTGATCCTCGCTGGGTGGAGGAGCAACAGCATTCTTCTCGTTGTCGAAGATCTCGACCGACTGATGTCTGTTACTATCGCGGACAGCGGAGAACCGACGAAGGCCGCGACGACGACGAATCAAATCGTCGATGTGTCGGCCAATTGCAAGCCCCAGGCCAACGGCCAGTACCGCACAATTGACACTGAAAGCGCGGCGATATCGCGGACGGTCGTCCTGCCGGAAGATTTGAGCTCCATAGATGCCGGCGATATTCGCGCCCATGATGACCCTACAAAACGTTAGCCAACATTCTTTCATTCACGGTTCAAGGAGAGGAATACATGGCCATCGCAAGGGCCCTCTCCTCCGAGTCTTCGCAAGTGAGCGACATCCAGGTAATGTTCAGAGGGTGTGAAAAAGTGCCAAAGGTCTGCGTCCAGACGACACCAAAGTACCTGACCCCTCGATTGTCGATTTCAGTGAAGATGCGGTTGAAGATGTACCCAAGGAGATGCATGCTAAGGCCAGCAATGACTGTCTCACCGCGCCTCGAGCTGTTACACGTCAGGGTACGAACAGTCCATGAGAGCTCCAGACGACTTACAAATGATCCGACACATAACTGAATGAAAACGACACCGGAATCTGCAAAAATAGACCGACAGAGGCAAGAGCATTGGACGACAGCGCAGCGAAGCCGAAACTTCTGACAATCGTCGGGGCGTAGGTGTCAAAGGCGCGTTGCGGCCCATTGTTTGCCAGGGTGATGATAACGTGCACCCACATTCTCCAATGTGAGAACTGCGCATCATGTCAGAACGAGTCAAATGGAACATCATCATCTAGTGGACGTACAGCCTTCTTGAACGCGAGTCGACCGATGCGCTTCTTCTTCTTCCCCTTCATCGGGTCGTCAATCATGACTCGAGTGTTGAGAATATGGATCTCTCGGTCTGTGAAGATCTTGACGTTGGGCAGGAATGTGCTGCGAGGGTTCTTGAAAGAGTCTGGCAGGAAAAATCCCAGAATGAGACCGCTGAGAACGGTAAAGCTGCCCATCAGGACGAACAACCAGAACCAGCCTGATTTACCGCCAACGCCGCGCATGTGGAGAATGCCATATGCCAGGAGCTTTGCGGATGCTTGGCCGAATTGGTTGCCAAAGTAGAATATCATAACACGCTTTGCAGTTTCTTTCCGGGTGTACCAAGTTGAGAGGGTCCACAGACCACCGGGGATGAATCCCGACTCTGTTATCCCCAGGAGAAACCGAGTGGCAATGAACGAGCCGTAGGATTTCTGGAAGGCCTGGAACGTGCTCACGGTGCCGAAAAGAAACAGTTGAAGTGTCAACCACTTGCCAGGACCGACCCGGTACAAAATCATGTTGGAAGGAATCTCGAATAGCACGATGCCCAGGGACAGCATCTGTTGTCCCACGTTGAATTGGTTTTGGGTGATGCCCACGTCCTCCATGAAGTCGTCTGTGATGGCATTGGCCATGTTCCCGCGGTCAAGTTCTGTGAAGAAGCTCGGAGTCAGCCACAAAATTGACGAGAGGTCAGGATGCAGACGTACGAAGGCAAAAGAAGCCCAGCGTGAGGAGTGGCATGATGATGAAGTCCATCCTGCCCAAGGTAGTCCTGTCAGCAGAGTCCTTGTTGTCCAGTATCGACCAAACTTGTGATGCATTAACACTGACTTCCTTTTCGCTTTGACTTCTTCCTCTAGTGTCCAGTCACGCTCCAGCAAAAGAGCCTCGCCATTTGCACCAACGGGAGGAAATTCATTGACGACTTCTGTCGTCTTCTGATCAAAATCAGACATCTTTGCAGGATAGTATTGAAAACTGGTCCAAAAGGCCTTTGCCCTGCCAGCAGAGACTTTGAAGAGGAGCAAACCATTGTTCTTGTAGAAATTCAATCACCAACGGATCATCATCACGCCATTGCGATCCCCATCTAGATCGCCAAACTCTTCCGATGTTTGTTCATCATAGACGAGAGCCAAGAGCAAATTCATCGTCGGCATGGGGGTGCGCATGGCAGATTTGACCAAAACTTTCAGCGCCATTCCAGCGAAAGTTGTACAGCCAAGCAAATGACTGCGTCGCCAATGTTGAAGGGAGGCCCGTCCAAGAAGGACCATGTCGAGATTTCTCGCGGCGCCGAGGACGTAGCTGAACATATTAATACTGGTGGCATGGAGACATTTACATACAGGGCTCTGGGAGTGGTCGAGATAGCTTGGCAAGCCTTGTCGTGATGGCGACATCCTTGAGCTTAATAGCGCAATCTCAGCCACTCTCCCCATCAACCAATCCCTCTTGAATTTCGACTCGGGTTTCTGGTGACATAGCGGTCAGTGCATCAGGGATCCTGCTGAGGGTTTTGCTTTCTTCTGGCGATCTGGATGTGTCGTTGCTCGATGGTGAAGAAAAGCTGCTGTCAGAGAAATTGGCGATGACGAGAGATCATAATTAGATGTTGAAACTGCAATCAAGCATTCTTGAAATGTGGCAGAGGCAGCCACAAGAAAGGCACCAAGGAATGGCAAGACAATCAAGAAAACTGCCCTACTTGGCATGAGTGCTTGGAGACTGACGGCTGCCACCGATGGGTGTTGATCTCCTGATGAATAGGCGAGGCTCATATTCAAGAGACGACGCCATCAGTCCAAGGCATTGTCGTGGCCGATGGGGGCCTGTGTAATATATATGAAAACCAAATGCCCGTCGGTGTTTTTTGTTCGAATTCATAGGCTCGTTTTTAGCTGACCACTGGAGTTGATTCCTCATGTAAAGGCACGCTGCGCGGGTCAGCAACCAACGCCAGTCGAATCTGGCCCAATCTCGTCATGCAAGGAGAGAAAACGACTTTGCTGAGTGGTCGGAGTACTGAGGACGATCAAAGCCCTAGCTCCAACGTGGTCAAGATCGTCCTCTTTACCCTGACTGGCGCCATCATTGCCTTCTTTGGAGCAATCGCCCTCGTCGGGGCACTTCGAGTATATCGCCATCCAGAACGATACATTCCACAAAATACAGCTGGCCAGTCGATGAGAAATCGAGCAAAAGGAATCACTCGCGCCATCCTAGACACCATTCCTATTGTCCGATTTACCGAGAAAACGAATACTGAACTTGAGTCAGTTGAGCTGGGGAATGCGAAAAAAGCCAATCAAATCCACGAACATGTCGCAGGTCAAATGCCCAAATGCAGTGGTGATGACTCAAGCAGTGCTACCCTCACAGAATTGAATGGTGCTCCTGTCCTCGATGGAGAAAGAGGTCTGAGGTGCTCAATCTGCACCGAAGATTTCAGCATTGGAGAACAGGTCCGACTTTTGCCATGTTCTCACAAATACCATCCTGCATGCATCGATCCCTGGCTGCTGAATGTGAGCAGCACCTGTCCCCTCTGCCGTATCGACCTTGACCGCAGCGAGCAAGGGCAGAGTAATGGTCAGGTCCGAGGCGAAGGCTGAGAAATTCACGTTTGCGTCTAGCAATGCATGCAAGGGGAAGGATCCGGATTTGGGGATAACGAGCAGTTCATTGATTGTGGCAGCACACCGTCGAGGTCAAAGGCCAGACTTCACAATTTGACCACTGAGTCAGTACTGGGCCAGTCGGAGCTGAAGTATTGATCTGCGTTTCAGAGATGGCAGGGTCTCAGGGGATATAGCCTGATGGCGAGATGCGAGTGGTTCCTTATTGCCTTCTGCGGGAAAGGAGAGTATCCTTGAGCCTAGGATACAAGGTGAAGGAGAGCAATCATGATGAGAAGACACGATGGAGAGAAGAATAATGAAACTTAACGAGCCAGCGAGCCAAATGGACTAGATGAGATGCACTAATACAGATATGGAATAGCCCACCCCAAAAAGGCAGCCTTGCCGAGCGCCACCTCTACGAATCTCTCTTCCGCTCTCCAGACTCCCAATCTTGACCAGCACTCACTCTACTCAGTACTTGTACTTGTATACCCCAATGAATGTCCCCAGAATCCATATGGCTATTTTGAGTCTCGCCAATCGTTCCTGTACGATCTCATCAGAACCATGTCGCCAGATTCAACTACGCCTCGCTTGAGATGAGATCGTGCCTTGTTGGAGCAGCACCATGGTCGATGTGAAACGAGATGGATCCAACGTGGAGGTATTCTACAAGTACACAAGTGGTTCTGGGGATGTGGGGAACCGACTCCCCGCCGTGGGCGATTTAGTTTTTGCCGGGGATCGCAACATATCCAAGACCTCTAGTTCTACGAGTCGTGTATACCTTCAAAACCTCGGTATCGTCATGCCACAAGTTCTGTGTACCAAAACTTATGGTTTCTGGCCTACCGAGGCTCCGTCATTCCGATTTCCTAGGGTAGACTGAATCTCATCGACCTGAGGATATTCCGCGAGTATGAAAAGGGTCTCGACTTCCCACAGAGCATCGGGCGTGCAGGAGTCAAGATACGTCGTAAAGGCCCTATGCTGAGCATCACCATCGACATGTGTAAAGGATGGGCTCTCCTGCTGTGGTCCACGTTGGCGTCTGTGCTCGTCGCCGACCCAACATTTACCGGCTTTCCTCCAGTGAGTTTAAGATTCGCTTTCTCTTCTGAGCGCTCTGCTAAAGCACATCGCCCCTGGTAGTGTGATGCCTTGATCGCTGCGGGCCTGGGCGACAGGTTGATTCGTGTAGGGACCGAGGCTTACGAACAACACCTGGAAAGTTATTTCTGTGCCAACGGACGTCTACACCCTTACTGCTTTGTACTGCCACATACCGCAGAGGAGGTTGCTACCACTGTCAAAGCGCTGGCCAGTAATGGCTCCGGATCAGGGAGTTGGCACATCGCCGTACGAAGTGGAGGACACCATCTCCCAGCAACCAACAACATTGAGGATGGGGTTACCATCGATCTCAGCTTGATGAACGGGGCAAAGTACAATGCCACAACTAACATTGCAAGTGTCCAGCCGGGTGGTAGATGGAAAGACGTCTACACGACTCTCCTCAACAATGGCAATGTGACGGTGGTCGGTGGGCGTGATGGAAACGTCGGGGTGGGCGGGTTCCTCCTCGGTGGCGGCATGTCGTATTATACACCGCGTTATGGCTTGGCCGTCAACACAGTTGCTGGGTTCCAAGTCGTGCTCGCAGATGGGAGCATCGTGGAAGCGACAGCCACAGAGAACGCGGACCTCTGGAAAGCCCTGCGAGGGGGCGGACTCAATTTCGGCATCGTCACCCGTTTCGACATGGAAGCCATGCTGGCAGTTGATCTGGTGTCAGGCACCTCCATGATTACAGCTGACCATTTCGACGAAGCAGCGGACGCCTTTGTTGATTTCACAAACCAGATGGAGCACCATCGGGACGACACCATGCTCATCATCCATACCCATGACTCCTCTATATGGGATGGTCCGTTCATCCTCCCTCTGCGAGTCAATACGAAGGGTGACCTGAGCACCACAGCCTTTGACAAAGTCACTCAAATACCTTCCGTGGCGCAAACCTGGGAGCAAAAATCGCTTGCTGCTGCTGCCAACGGGGTCCAGGCTGCTTATGGAACGAAGTATGATTCTCCTTTACAAAACCTCTCCTGTCTTTTCTTTCCCCATCGCTGAAAAAGATAAATCGCTGATCGATCTCTACCGAACCTTCTTAGGAATGCATACATGACTCTGACTTTTGTCAACGAGCCGTCGGTCGTGCGCAAGGCTTTCTCTTTACATGACCAACTGGCCTCTAATATTGCAAAGAAGGTCGGGTCTGAAAACTTTATGGCATCCTCGGTTCTTCAGCCATTTCCTACCTATCTGAGCAATCTTGGTCTCCGCAACGGCAGCGTGGGCCACAAGGCTGGATCCGAAAACGGTACAATGCCACTGGACCTTTCATTCTCGTCTGGACACCAAGCTCATCTCGGCCTCTACCACGAGATCATGAGCAACGTGCTCGGAATCGAACGGAACGGCGTCAACGCCGTCGTGTGGACTGTATTCGTCGCCATCAAAAACGGCCAGGACGCGGCCCTGTCGGTGGCCAGATCAGAGCTGATGCTCATGACTCGTGAGATGAAGCGATTCCAAACCTCGGACGGCAAGGCCGCGACAGTGGATTACCTGTACGCAAACTACGCAGACATGACCCAGGATCCCTTGGGGAGTTACGGCCCGGAAAACGTAGCCTTCATGAAAGAAGTGGCGCGAAAGTACGATCCCGAGGGGTTCTGGCAGAAGAGGGTACCGGGGGGGTTCAAGATCTCGCGAGTGGCCGGATAACCCTACATTTAGGCACTGAAGGGGTTTGTGGCCTGATACAGATACCAATGCATGTCTGACGAATGCGAGTACAGCGATCAAGCTGCAAGTACATCGTATCTGCCTTGTACAAGTATTGTCTCGGCCGGGCTATCAGAGAGACAACAATAACCTCGGCCAGACTGCCGAGCCACAAGCACGCGTGGTGCCACCCGGGCTCGGGTTGGCGGTGCCAGGTTGATACTACAAGTAATGTAGGCACCATTTGCTGCAAAGGTAGGAGGTATGCTTAGACGAACCTCGCTGAGTCATCCCAGTATTAGGGGGCGCAGCCTTACAAAGATTCACGACTGCCCCCCGTCCGTGAGATGATGGCGACATTAGCCCAATATGCCTGCCTGAGATGAGAAGAAACGCCCTTCCTTACTTGATCCTCTCTCTCCCTTGTACGAGGTATTCGCAATGGATTCTCCATGTAATCTACTCTCCTTGTCATTACCCACGTCTGCTCGGGATACTAAGGAACTCGTCAAACTACCCACATACCTACTAGATAGCCTAGGTACATGGTATGCGAGTCCTATCTGTGATTCATTCACAGCGTGAACCAGCCAAGGAGGCCCTGTCCATATCTATCTATCTATATATTCCATCACGACCCCAAGGAAACGGCACGACGGCTCCGTGCACGACTACTCGGGCTCCAAGAGCTGACCTACTCTGCACGGCGAAAGGGGAAACGCGGCCGCAAAGCCGTACCGAGCAAACGCGTTGGCGGCCGTGGCCGAGGCACCATACGTCGGCCCGTAAATGTTGACCAGGTAGCTGATAGCAGAGGCCTGGAGAAAGACAAAGTTCAAAGAGTGTAAATGCCCGTCTTTGCTGCTGCATTGGACTGTCCCGTCTCGTCTCATGAAAGGCGAAAGGTAAGGGGAGATTGACTTACAAAGACACAGGGATTGCCCCAGGCAAAGGGGATCAGTGCGCAGACGGGACTCGCCCGGTGGACGTCACTCCGAACCGTCCAGTCGAACCAGAACAGGCCGATTGGGATCCCGACGCTGCCAAATATCGCTGGCCAGAGGATGTCTTCGAGCTGCCTCGAGCGTGACTGTAGCGGCGCCAGTGGTACCGTATGCGTTCTTCTCTGCAGAGCCAGATCGACGCTGACGTTCGTAGCCGTGGCCAGGAGACAGCTGACGGTGATGGCGATGAAGGCGAGGCTGGACTGGTCTGTCCCAAAGCCGTAGGTTCTCGACAGAGACTACGGGACCGCAGGGAAGAAGTTGTACAAGATGCCGAAATTCAGCGCCACGTAGAGACTCAGGAAAAGGACGATCGGCTCCGTCACCTGCATCTGCAGCGGCTCTGCCGAGGTGGTGGAAACCCAGGCATGGACGGCCTTGTCGGCCAGCAGGTCTTGGGAACTGTCGGACTGATTGTCGTGGGAGGATTATGCCTAAAAATGTTGGATGAACGGCAAGGCTGTGGATGTAAAGGGGAGAGACCCAGCGAGGAATGCACGCTGACTAATCACAGTCCAACGCGATTGATGGGCGATTGACACTGGCCCTTCGACCTGCTCAACTGCAACTCGATTGTCCCGACCCAACTGAGCCAAACCCAGCCGCCTGCCTTGAGGATGATCTTGCTGTACTCAGTATGGACGTCTTTATTCGACATGAACTATCCTCCTCGTGATGGCCTTCCCTTTTCTTCCCCTTCTCCGACAAGATCCCAGGCAAAAAAGTGTCCAGTCAATTTTGTCTGTCTGTCTTGGCGTATACAATCGGGCGTATTCGTCAGGAACCCGCGCACGGCGTATAGAGCGCAACGCCTGGAACTTCTTCGCGGACTCACGATTTGTAATGGAATAAATGATTTAAATCCCCAATATTACCTACCTAGGTATCTATGTGTTTCCCTCCAAGTCTGCATTGTGCCTCGATTTATACGTGGATGATTAGTGGGATCTCGATTCATGGTCGTCGAGCCCACGAGAAGCGCGAGTTTTTTTTTTGTTAACCAACTGATATCGTCCCTTCGCACCTCTTTCTAGGAAGAACTGGATTACTGGCAAGGAACAAAGAGCGGCTGCAACATGGGAGAGGACCTCAACGGCCTCGTCATGAAGATGAGGGCCTTAGCCACTCGTAATGGCAATGATAGCCACGATGAGCTTGCCCGAGCAGCGTTCGGGAGGGCGATGAGGGACAAACACTTCCTCTTCGCGCAAGACTATACCAATCTCAATCACGGTATTTCCTGCCCATCCCATCCTCTCCTAGAAAGCAGCAGTGTGTGTGTCTCTGTTACTCCGCCATCCTAGGCCCTGACAAGTCCGTCTATGTCGTAGGCTCCTTTGGCGGCTATCCTCGCTCGGTCCAGCAAGCCTTGCGCCACTATCAAGAAACAGCAGAGGCGGAACCTGACAAGTTCATCCGCTACACGTACCCTCCGCTGCTGCGGAAGAGTCGCACTCTGCTTGCCGATATGCTTCATTGTCCTATCGATGAGCTGGTCCTATGCTCGAACGCCACGACCGCCACGAACACGGTACTCCAGAACCTGCGGTGGGAGGAGGGCGACAAAATCGTGTATACTTCCGGCGTCTATGGGGCGCTGGAGAAAACAATTGACTATATCGTCGACACAACTCCGGCCGAGAGCGTGAGGGTCGAGTTGAACCTACCTCAGAGCGACGGCAAGATTGTGGAGCTCTTCCACAAGACTTTGACCGAGGAAAAACTCAAGTGCGAGAGAGCTGGGAAAGGACGAGTTCGGGTAGGTGTCTTCGACACGGTGGTCAGCATGCCTGGTTTGCGAATGCCATTTGAGAGGCTCGTACAGCTCTGCCGACAAGAAGGTGTGCTGAGCCTGGTAGATGCTGCGCATGGAGTGGGACATATTACCCTCAACCTCACCGAGCTGGACCCGGACTTTCTGGTCACCAACAGCCACAAGTGGCTCTTCGTGCCCAGGTCGGTTGCGGCTTTCTTCGTCCCTAAAAGGAACCAGCACTTGATTCGGACGACGCTCCCAACATCCCATGGGTACCAATCCCAAAGACGCAGCCAGTCACATGATCCTCTGCCTGCCTCGGAAGAAACGAATCCCATGGTGAAACAGTTTGAGTACTATGGAACGATTGATGGTGCCGCTTACTGTTGCGTCGAGGAAGCAATCCGTTTCCGCAACGAGGTGTGTGGCGGCGAATCAGCCATCCAAGAATATTGCACCTCCCTTGCAAAGAAAGCGGAAGAGATCCTCGTGGAAACTCTGGGGACGGAGACATTTGACATACCAGAGACACATAGAGTTTTCTTTGCGCACGTGCGACTGCCCATCTCGGTTGGAGAAGGGGCTGATTACGATATGTCCTTGAAAGACGTCCCGGCCATGACTCAGTTCATGAACAAGGAGCTTGGGGAAAGATACAGGACCTTCTTTTACGTGCTGTTCTATCGAGGAGCCTGGTGGATCCGCCTGTCGGCCACAGTCTATGTTGATCTCGAGGATTGCAAGTATGCGGCCTTTGTCTTGAAAGACTTGAGCGAGAGAATTCGCAGAAAGGAGTTTTAGGCGAGCAGACCAGCAATGGAGGCGAGTTTGTGCTTGTGCATTTCGTGGGTTTGACTAGAGTCGAGAAGATGATGCGTGCTGTGAAGCACATCGAGTACACAGAGCTGCTTCCTAGGAGTCAGAGACAATGGAGACGCAGGAGGAGGCCCTGACAGAGTACTGGGCACCCAGATGAGCTATCAGAGACCAGTCCTGGTTGTTGATCTGAGATTAGCAGTCTCAGTTTCTAGGGGTGTAGGTTCCACGCGTACCATCAGTTCTGGGGCTCTACATTCAGCAGTTTGGAGGCAATAAGTAAGGGATCCAGGATTACTGGATCGTAGATGTACCCATTGCAACAGGTGTGGGTATTGAAGTCCCTTTATGTGTCAAGAATCGATCTGGCATGCGAGAAGAAGCTGCCCGCCGCGCCAAGTCTATGGTCGCCTGACTCGTGAGTCTGCGGACAAATGACTCGTGTGCTCATGACGTGCCCTGCATTCTTCAATTCTGCCATTCAGCCCGGGCACGCTTGCTACCCATGAACCCTGGATACATGCTAGAGAAGTCCACAACCTGTGAGCATCCAGGTCCTGCCTATACCGTTTGCCCACCATGGCAGATGCGGATGAAGATGTCATCCCTTCAACCTCAGCGTCTGGTCCCGACGACCTCGAAGACGAAACCCAAGATTTCCGTTTCCTCAGCCAATTGACCTCCTCGTCCAAGAACGGGCAAGCCATAATCCCCAAACGCGGCACAAAGGACTTCGAACCAAACCCTACACGTTCGCAAGCCTCTGCCCTTGATGCGTCTCGCCTGGCGATGCACACAATCCTCAGTGCGGTGCGGATTCAAACGGGCAAAACCCACGTCGTGGGACAGTACTTTTCAAACGAAGGTGACTGGCGATGGGACGGTACCGGGGCTGAAGGAAGACATGGCCGGTGCGTTGTGGTGTACAAATTCAAGAGCCCTCATTTGAAGGTCATGGGCCAAGCAGACAGGAACAACTGGGTCTGGCTGTTGCCTGAAGAGGCTTTGTTTCTGCTAGAAAGAGGAAATCTCGATATCCGATGGCCAGACGTCAATGACGAGGATGATGGTATACCAAGCGGGAGTGAGTACAGGTCCTCCAACGTCATTGCCTGGGAGGAAGGTGCTGCTGCTTCAGAACAACAAAATGTTGAACCACAAACGGGAGCTACAAGTTCAAGCGCGGAACCGTCCCTAGGCGAACTCCCCATGAGTCTCCAAGGCGCCTACGCCAGCTTCATTGGCAAGGATGGCTTGACGTTGGAGCGATACACAGTCTATGCAGGGCTCAAGAGAGCGGGATATATTGTTCAGCGGGCGCCGACCTGGAATGATACAGATGTCGCTCAAGCGAATGGACACAGTGACCATGCTCCAAGTCCGCCCATTTCACCATCTGCACCATCAACAGCGATATCGGGCGGATCTCAATCTCGAGGGCCATTCGCATCTCTGGTCCACAGGTTGGTATCATGGCTCTTGCAACCTCGTCAAGGCAAGTCCTGTCCCTCACTCGGGCCGTTGGTTGCTCCGGGTTTGTACAGGAACTACGCCGATCTATTCCACGCGTTGGCGTTGGTTCCGTACCACGAGCCTTCCAGCGCCCATACAGCTGAGAGCTCAAACTCCATATCCTCACCGCAACCGCGGCCGCCCCAAGCACCCTACCGCATCCACTTCCACGTCTGGAAACCCAACGTCTCCGGCACCTACAAGAAGACCTCACCACCTCCAGAGGACTATCGAATCTGCGTCATCGATGCGCGCTCGACGCCGTCGATTCCGTCGTTGTCAGAAATCGGACCTCTCCTCGACAGTCAGCCTGAGGATTCCCTTTCCAGAGCGCAGGCAGGCAGGTTAGAGACGAGGCTCAAGCATGGCAGACGGAACGTGTTACTCGCGGTGGTGGACGCGGGTATCGTGAGTTACCTGAGACTAAGCGACGCGTGCTTCGGTGCCGACAAACTGTATGAGGAGAAGACCAGAGCAGGCACCAAGGGTCGGCCCAAGAGGAACCAAGGCCGAGGGCCAGGGCAAGGACAGGGACAAGGACGAAAGTAGACGATGTGGCCATGCGCGGAGTATGGCCTTGCTGGGCGCTCAGGTCGAGGCGGCTTTCTCAAATACTTGCGGACACGACTATTTGGACATCGATGAGCGATGTTTGATTGCGCCGGGACACACAGGAAACCATAATTGGACGGGGACGAGGCATTGGCATTTCAGATTTCAAGGACAGGCTAGGTTAGACTGCTTTAGACATTTTTAGACTTGATACCCCTATGATCGAATGAGAGTATACAAATATACACAAAGGCACATAGACGGCGTTGTTCAATAATGAAAAGAGACGAGACGAAACAGACGAAACGGAGCAGATGGAACAGAATAGAATAGCCTGAGCCAGCAAATGGCTACCTATTGTTCTTCTAACGCTTACGCCCGATAGTTTTAAGAACGAGGGTGTAGCAAGAATGGAAAGCAACTTCTACTGAGAAGATATACAGTCTCCACCAAGACCCAGGGGTATCCCAGAGAGTGTACACAGAGAATATAGAGAACAGCCGATAAAATCGGCAAGGGATATATTCTCAAAGAGGGTTGTCTCCCCGTGAGAGAACGTCCGCGTTTTCACCATGGCGTTTTTTAGAAGGCGAGCGGACTGCCTGATGATCTAGGGACTTTCTGATCTTCCATCTTCTATAGACGTCGGCCTGTGGGAGAGTAGACAGGTTTCAAGTGTCGCGACGTATATGCTTGAGATGGGTGGAATGGGGTCTTTTGTCTGTGTTGAGGGGGGAGAGGGGTGCCCATGGAATTGAGACTTGGTTTAGGAGAAGGGGAAGGGAAAGAGATGCCTAAATCGTGGGGGGGGATCTTGAGAGGGAAGTGAAGGAATAGTAGAATAGAAAACCACTTAACATGCTTGTCAACAAAGAATATGTCTCGGGGAGGAGCCGGGAGGGAGCTCTTGGGATATGAACGCGTTAAGTGGTGCCCTTTTTCCTCGACTTCCTTGACATGTAACAAGGCTCGGACAGCAAATGCGTTGCTTTCCATCCACCTTTTCGCAGATGTCGAGAACA